CACATCAGGTGAGGGAGTGAGGCGATTGGCCAGGGCCAGGATGTGACACTATTCTGCTTTTTGGGGTGTTCCCTTTCCTGTAGTGTGTTGTATAGGTTTTCTGTGCATGTAAATGGTCTGCAAAGGCAACAAACCCAAGTTTCTCTCCCATTTGAAATAGTCGAAATGACATTGTACACGTCCGCCCGTCAGTGGCAACGCCGAATATAATGTGTGTCGAAACAAGCAGCAAGGAAAATGACTGAACATTTATTTACTCAACATGACATCAAAACTTATGTCATCATCACACACACAAAATCAAAAAGTAGTTTTAAGGCAGTGTGGTGGTGGTATCTCCCAATTATCAGGAAATGATTTGCTCTCCAAACAAGTGCCAAAAGTTTGAATTCAAACCATCCTCATCGATGCTTATGCGAACCAAATAGCCAAGAGGTAAGCCCTCATAACACAAACGTAGCTACATTCAACTTCCTCACTGTTAATGAAGAGAACTGTTAAATAAATAATGAAAAACTAGATTACGTTGCTCAATCAGGTAGAACTGAACTGACCGAGGACATAAAGCGTCACTATTCACACACATTTCTTCCTGCTGAGGCGATGTCTTTCCTCCCAACCAGGAGCGAGGCTATCTGCTTCTGCTAACATATAAACCCAGACAGGTCATGATGGTGGCCGGCGTTCATCAACTAGGATTTTCTAATATCCTGCATGGCAAGACCCGAGCGTAATAATGCAATTAAGACGGTGAGGTGTGCTGCAATGAGAATCTTTACTGTGGGACATTTGCTCCATTCAAAATTAATTAAATTAACCTAGCTTTCTGCTAATGTCGCACCGCGAGGCATTTTCATTTGCAAAAGAATCTCTCTCTTTTTTCTTTTTGGGTCAGTGGTGATTTTTATAAATTCTCTTTTACTGATAAACAAATGTCTCAATGAGCACCGGGTGGAGATCAGAGAGATGGACAGGTAACAACGCAAGGACAGGTCTTAGGCTCTCAGAGACACTGTGCATTATCTGGATACAAAGGCTCTTCGTTTACATAGAAATATAATATATTATAATATTTGTAATGATTAAAAACTAAATAAAAAGAGAAAGACATGGTATTAATAAGAAAAATGTGTTTAATGATTAAAAAAAACATATATTTTATGTTACATTTCTTCTCAAATTTGTTCTACTGTTCTGATTATTGGATTATTATTAAATCGTTTCAAGTATTTGAGTTTTTATTATTATTTTATGCGTTATAACCCTCACGTTTTTTCAAATGCAAATAATAAAAAAAGTCACATGATGTTCATTGTTTCATTTTTATATTTCGATGTCCATTACAGAGTGTTTAATGATGTGCCTTTGTTTTTGATCAACCCAATGCACCTTTCTCCAAACTGACTGTAATAGAGGGATGTTGTTCAGGTTGTACATGGGATGGGTGTGTGTGTGTGTGTGTGTGTGTGTGTGTGTGTGTGTGTGTGTGTGTGTGTGTGTGTGTGATGCAGTGGGGCTGCGTAGTGTACTGCGTCTCCCCCCCTCGCTGCGTCCGGATAGAGGAGCCCCGAGGCCCGGAGCCTGGGAGGACGTGGGGAGGTCACTCCATACACACTGTCAGCAACACACACACACACACACACACACACACACACACACACACACACACACACACACACACACACACACACACACACACACACACACACACACACACACACACACACACACACACACACACACACACACACACACACACACACACACCACACACACACACACACACACACACACACACACACACACACACACACACACACACACACACACACACACACACACACACACACAGAGGATGAGGTGACAATAGCTTACTTTCGCGGCCTTCAGCAGGATCTCTCTCTCCTGCTCGTCCTTCCTCTGCTTCTCCATCCTCTCCAGCTGCTCGAAGAAGCGCAGCTGCGAGCGAACGTCTGCAGACTGCTCGTAGCCCTCTTCGTCCTGAAGAGGAGACACAGAGGAAATCACTGCCATGTTGAAAGAGAAGCTACAAGTCCCAATGAGGGGCTGCTACTGAGGCTTTGGACACACAATTCAGAGCAGAAATGGATAAAAGGTCTATTTGTGCATGTTATTAAAATGTTTCTCAGACATTAATGAAAGACACATTAAATTTAACACTGAGTGGCAACCCTTCTTAACCTTAACCCCACCTTTCCCTCTTTATTATATATTTAGTTTTTGTCTTTGTATTGTTTTATTATTATTTATTTATTATTTATTTAGTGTTTGTTCCTGTTAGTCTGTACAACACCCTCTTACATGTTGGCTACATGGTCTGTTCTAGTTATAATTGTGGTTTAAATATTGTACGCCTTCAAGGGAAGTTCAACTATGCATGGCTTGTCAATTGATGTACAATAGTAGAGACTAAGCTAGTAGCTTTGAACTGTTGAACATTTCTAACTGTGGTTCCTATCAATGTACCAAATGTCTTTTCTATGAGTCTTCAATACAAATATATTCAAACATTTTATTTTTTTAAACTTGAGTCTGTGCTGCTTACACGGGAACAAAAACGGTTGTATCCGCTACTTTTCTCTTTCGTATAGCCCGTTCGTTCACACGAGGCCGTAACGGAGACGCGGAAACGGACCCCTAAAACGATAACGGGTCCGTGTGTACGTCCTATACGATCATTTTCCTGATAACGATGAAGCCATAGCCCCGCCTCTCCCCACCTCTGCTGCTCACTGCTGTCGCATGGTCAGTAGCTACTGTTAGTAGCTACTGACCATGCTACAGATGTTAGTGCAAAATCTACAGCTCCTCTACCACAACCATCAGCAACAAGTGGACATGGAGAACTACATGAACTACATGTTGCAACATCCACGCGGAGAATAAACAGAAGGGCAACCAGGCAACCATGGCAACCATGCTCGGGGGTCTTCTTCGCTGCTTTTGGTGTATTTTGTGGCGGAAGTACAGCGCCACTTACAGGCCCGGCATATGTACTACAGAGTCTCGAGCGCTTTCGAGCGGTCTCGTGTGAAGGGAAGACTTTTTTGATATCGTTCGTTTGCATTTCGTTTGCGTTCCCGTGTAAATGGGGTCTTAAAGGGATGGTTTGGATTGTTTAAAGAAGGGTTGTAAGATCATTTATAGTGAGTTAATTGCCTACAGTAGATTGCTGTCTGTAGTCTGGATAATCTGACAGGTGTTCCAGCTAGAAATATACATATACAATGAGCTGTTGTTTAAAAACAAAAGACGTCAAATAAAAGAAAGGAAAAACAGCTGCTGAGCTAACAGGAGGAGCAAAATGATAAAGATCGAGTGCAAATTGACAAAAAAGGTTTTACGACACGTATGATCATCATTAAGCGAGCGCGCACATACATTAGTCATTCCTTATCATAAGTTAATAGTAATAAAGAGTTCTAATAAATAGTGCGTATTATGCGAGAAGATTTGAGAAGGTGATGTGTTTTTACTAAAGTACATAATTGCTGTTTGTGTCCTTACGAAAGTATTGAAACACAGTAATACTGATCCCAAGTACATCTTAATGGACTATCATCATCACCGTTAAACTTGTGAATAAAATTAAAAAACTGCGATAAAAAACCAGACATGCCCCGCTGATGAGCCTGAAACATATCTTCATCATTTACTGCATATATTCACTGTACATTTATGTTCAATTTAATATTAAATAATCAATTTCTTGCACAATAATATCCTGCATTATATTTGTTACTGGAAATGTGTATTTCCACATGAATATTTTCCACATGAATATCTTTTTTTTTACTTTATTATGTATTTCTAGTGTCTTAATTTGTTTGTGTGTGTGTAACTATTGCCTTGTTTTTTATGCTGCTGCAACGCAAATATTTCCCAAATTGGGATCAATCTATCCATCCATCCATCCATCCATATATCTATCTATCTATCCATCCATCCATCCATCCATCCATATATCTATCTATCTATCTATCCATCCATCTATCCATCTATCCATATATCTATCTATCTATCCATCCATCCATCCATCCATCCATCCATCCATATATCTATCTATCCATCCATCCATCCATATATCTATCCATCCATCCATCCATCTATCCATCCATCCATCCATCCATCCATCCATCTATCCATCTATCTATCTGCACATTTGGTTTTAACCAACTTTACGCCCGTCTGATTCCGACACACACTAACTTTTTTTCTATGTAAAGACATTGACGCTCCTCTGCATGGTGCGATCACTTCTCACTTGGGAAAAGGCAAAAAGGCACGTATAAAAAAACAACTTTTTGTAGGTCATCAAAAGTTAATAGGATAATTGCTTATTTCACATGTTTGTGTGTGTGGCTCCGATGCAGCTCCGCTTGAACTTGATTTCTATATCACTCTGTTCTATCTGCGAGTGTGTGTGTGTGAGTGTGTGAGTGTGTGTGTGTCAGGTCTGTGTGAAGCCGGGTGGCACTGAGCACAGAGACACATCAGAGGAGGCTCATCGCCAGCACCCCCCCCCCCCCCCCCCCTTTCCTCCCTCTCATCCAGCCTTTTCTTTGTAGCAGTGCTGAGCCTGCACTCCTGCTGAAGATCCTGCTGAAGCCCGGCTGCTCTTTAAGGCCGTCGCTTTTTCTCGTTTGGTCTTTTCATTTCTCTTTTTTTTCCGCTGATGTCAACAGAGTGGCTTCACAGAGCGCCGCGCCTCCCTCACGCACACACCTCATTTACAAAACCACAAAAAAGGAACAGAAGAAGAAGAGAAAGAAGTGCCAAACAAGATGGGGACAGCTGCAGCGATGCTCCTCTTCCTCCCTTGGTGTCAGGAAAAACACATTTTCAAAGTTTCCCCCCCAGTTCTCCCAACGACGCCAAGATTCACGCTTGTAGTGGAGATGGATTTGTGCTTTAAAGTACACCAATTAAATGTGGTTATAGATTTGCATTCAAGGGCTACGAGAGATAAAGTCACCAATAAGGAGAGAGGTACGCGGCGGGAGACGAGCACTTAGAAGTGTCTTTATATCTCAAGTTTACGCTGAGTGACTGAGAAGGCGTCTGTTTATCAACTTAAAGGCACAAAAAGGCTTCTCATATTAACTTTTATGTGTTTATGTTAGTGGTTCAGCTGCATATTCGTCTGTGAGTTTAGACGGGAGATATATATAAAAGTGTTTGTGTGCATGCTGCTGTTTACCGATGTGGGAATGTTGGAGCAGAGTAGTCTATATTCAAATGTATGTGTTTTAATATGTGTGTAAATGTCGCCATGAAGTTTCTTTCCTAACTCTGGTGAGTATCCACCTCCAAGTGTTTATACTACTGTTAACAGAAGTACAGTCGCGTTAACCGAATATTTTCCGTCTATGACCGATTTGTTTTAACAATGACGGAAAAATCTGAAAGCAGTCCGTCATTTTGACAGATTAGAACAAACTCAGAACAGCGCCAAAGCTTCCCCGCAGCGAGGCTCCGGTGTTATGCATGCCCGCCAAAAAGGAGATGATATCGTTTCCAAACCTAACGGTACGTCCACACAGCAGCGTTAAAAAAATCTTCCAACGCTTCTGCCCATTCACTTTGAATGGGGTGACGTCACTTTGCCTCACTTTTCGCCGAACTGCATTGTGGGAAGCAGAGCGGAGCTTTGCTGGCGTTTCAGGCTGCAAAAGTTGAGCAATGTTCAACTTTTGAAGCTTCTGAAGCTTCGGTGGAAGCGTCAGCCAATCAAACCGCGTGTATGCTGGGAGAGACACACCGCAGGTCATTTCCTCATATTCCAAAAAATGGAGCAAGCTTCAACGCACGCCGCTGTGTGGACGGGCCGTAACTTTGCCGTACAAATCATTGAAATGTCTGTGAGTGCTTTACGCTGTGGCGCGCTCCCGCGAGGTGCAGTGGGCATGCATAACCCCGGCGCTAACAGTTCAGGAGCGTCACCCCCCCCCCCCCCGTCAGAGTTGTGTACAGACCGATGGGTAATAATGGATTGTGACAGAAATGTTTTATAACGGTCTTCCTCTTTATGTAAACTGCTGCTTGGAAATAAAGCCCATACTTTCCCTTTTACCATATTGGAGGTTCATAAGTAAAGTTTGTTCTGTCCAACAGTTCAGTTCACATGTTCAGAGTTATTGTTCTCTCTCTTAAAGAAGACATTTGGGCGGGAAGAAATGCTGCTCCAAAAACAAGTTGAAAAACGAATGAAAACAACGTGTTTTCACTTGAAATAAGTACAAAGATCTGCCAATAGAACAAGTTAAAATTAGCTTGGTAAGATTTCTTGAAATTAGAAGGGATATTTAGATGAATCTGATCGCGTAATTAGCTGGGAGAACTACTTTTGAACTATATTTGACCAGAATCAGGACATTTTGTGTTACAATTTAAGCCGCAAATGCTCAAAAGTGTTATGTTTTCTGATGTTAGTTGGTGATTTTCCAATAAATATGTGAGAAAAAAAAAGTTTCATCTGAGATACAACTCAAAATAAGATCTTTTGACTTAACAAGATGATGCATTGTTTAAAAACAAGAGCCAATATCTCACTCCATTGTTACTTCTGAAGTTATTATGTCTTAAATAAACTGTGTGTGTGTGTGTGTGTGTGTGTGTGTGTGTGTGTGTGTGTGTGTGTGTGTGTGTGTGTGTGTGTGTGTGTGTGTGTGTGTGTGTGTGTGTGTGTGTGTGTGTGTGTGTGTGTGTGTGTGTGTTCTTCCTACCTTACAGGAGTCCAGTCGCTGCTGAGCGATGCTGGAAACCTTCTCTACGACAGTTCGAAGTCGTGATTGTGCGGCGTGTGAGATGAACGTGACCGCCTCCATCGGGACGTCTGTGACTCCAAACTTCTTAGCTGTGAAGGACACACACACACACACACACACACAATTCAAACTTTTGCCATTATGACTTCATATTTACTATTTCCCATAGTTGTTATACATTATAAACGTGTATTACCATATAATGCCGTCGTTCCCGGATGTTTATCTTCCATTTAACTACCTGGGTGTTTTATAAGTTTGCATTTAATTTACTGAAAGGGATAAACAGGGTGAAAGCGATTGTTCTATCATCACTTCACTTTTTCAATCTCGAGAAAAAGACAAGCTAAGCAGGTAGAAGGTAATTGTCTCTCTACCAACACACACTAAACTCATAAACAAAGCACAACTCTAATTTTCTACTTATACACACCTACTGTACTCACACACACATTCACACAGGACTGTCTGCATTAGTGCGTGCGATTAACTCCCAGACATAGGACCCATAGCACTGGATCGTTCATTTGTTTCACTGTCTTGGCTTTACTAGCTGAGCGTCTTCGAGTGTGTAAACGACATTGACCATCTCGTATCGTAGGAGGAAGATAATTGAGTTTCCTCGGAGCTAAAAACCATCTGAAGTCATAACAAAAGAGAAGAGGACTTTGCTGGGTTACTATCCGATTCCAACTTCCTTTTAAATTATTCCATTACCATCGTTTTTCTCTCTGGCACCCTTTTAAGTAAACCACACCAATTATTTAAATCAGCTGCACAATGCATATAGTGCAGATCCGCTAAAGCTTTGAAATGGATGGAGGGAGGCCTGTTAGCCTTATGATTACAGAGGCAACACATGTGGCAATGTCACAAGGTCAGAAGAAAAACACTAATAGGCTCCGCTTCCTTAAAAAACAAGATCTTTCAGGGACATTAATATTTCAGAGAAAGTTTAAGAGACTTTTCTGTGAGCGAAAACACGAAGAAATTGGACCGAGAAAAAAACCTCTGGACCCAGAAACACTAATGAACTGAACAGCTTTGATATTGAGTTTCATTGGTACAAAACAGAACAGATAACAGGGATAACCTGCTATACATATTCTAACATCTCCAGTTGGGTGAAATGTTTTGCATTTTTGACATGCAAGCAACGTGGCTGTAGGGAAGGCAACGTCTACCACTTTGGTCGAATCTAAATATCTCAGTAATTATTTGATAGAAGATCATGACCTTTGGCACAGATATTAATGTTTCCCAGACAATACACCCTAATTCAGGGGTTTTCAAAGTCTGAGAAGGTGAGCCTCCCCTCAGAGAACATGAGAACAGCCGCGCCCCCCCCTCCCAATTATTATTGCTATTATTATTGTTGTTGTTGCTATAATGCAGGGGTATTCAATTGCATTTCAAAGAGGTCCAGTAAGAGCAAATGTCATTAAATGCTCTGTTTTTCGCTGTCTACCTTTCTCTTTTTTGAGCACGCCATTTGAAGTTACTCCAACTGTTTCTCTCTTCTTGTCTCGTCTCTGTGTGTTTGAATCTATCGTGCTGACTCACTGACTGCACCGATTTGATTGGCTGAGTAGCATCACCTCCTAAAAACATTAAAAAAATAACTTTTTAAAACCTTTTTATCTTTATGTTTTAAATATGTGTTTTAAACATTTTTTACATTTTCAACATCGTGGATGAATCCTTATATGCTCCCGGCAACACACTGAACATCAACTTTGCCTCCTTATTACACTCACCCCTACTTTAGTGCTGGGAACAATGAGTCTGCGTCTTTGATGCGCACAGGCGGATGATGCGGGGATCAGAGTCCTGCAGGGATCAGAGTCCTGCATTGGGTCGGTACCCGACGGGTGACCCGCAAAAAAAGTGATTCGCGGGGTGGTAAGATTCCTCAGACCTCTCCCCGCGGGACCGCGCATAATCATAACCTCTGCACCGCATCAATCTGCTGCTGAGCGCGCCACATTCGAAATGGCTGAGGTGAAGCTCTAGCGGAGAATACAGCATTGTAAATAACTCTTCCTCAAGAGCGAAATCCAACGTCTGGGAGGCTTTTGGTGTCATGGAGAAAATAACCAACATCCCACGCTTTTTGAGCCAAATACGCAACTGCGTGTGTTAATAATTGCATGTTTTCAGTGCTCCTAGGATATGCGGGTTCGGGTCGGTTTGTGGATCTTGTGCCGACGGGTCGGGTCGGTTTGCGGAACTAATTGTCAATATGTGCGGGATGGCGGGGCGGGTTCGGTATTGCACGTTGCAGGTGCGAGGCGTGAGCGGGTCTTGAAAATCAGACCCGTGCAGGACTCTGGCGGGGATGCAATGTAGACAGGAATAAACGCAGATCATCCTCTGGCTGCAGCCTTGACCGGTACTTGCTTTTGATCAAAGTCAATGCGGAAAACCCGCACTCACACCGGTAGGTGGAGGTGAAGGGAATGAGCACTTTTACAACCTTTTTGGCGAGGTGGGGGAACTCGGTCTCCACAGACAGCCAAAAGTGTGCAAGTGACACTTTACTCATCTTGTTCTCGTTACTTTTTTTTCTCATGCTGCGCCTCCCCTGAAGCTCTCTGGCGCCCCCCCAGGGAGGCGCGCCTCACACTTTGAAAACCGCTGCCTAATTCATTTGGTAATCCTATGACGTTTCTAACAGTACCAGCATGAGGTTCACATTTAGAGTTCTGAGTGAGATGTCTTGAGAAATATTGGATTAAATGCCATGAAATGTAGTACAGACGTCCACTTGAGAAACACATTTTTTAACCAGTTTGGTGCCCGCTGACATTTAATCAGGTCAAATACCTGCACGTTAGTTACATCCATGAGCCGTAACTGTACTTTGTTAAAGGTCACCTATTATGCAAAATCCACTTGTTCATGTCTTTTCTACATCAACATGTGTCCCCTCTGTGAAAAGAGATTCTGAAAGTTTCAGGAACAAAGATTCTCTCTCTTTTTGTCCTGATCCATTTATATAAAAACCTGTCTGAAAATGAGCTGATCAGATTTTGGCCACTTTCTGATGTCATAACGATTTTTTTGGCTTGTGTAACCATTAGCCAATCAGCAACCAAGGTAACCCCCTCCCCACCTTATCACCTGAATCTCCTCCTAGAGCACCATTAGCCGCGTTCACACCGGAGTACTTTTCCCCGTACTTTTCCCCTTTAGTTCCGTTAGTACCCCTTATGTCGCGTTCACACCAAAAAGAGTACTTAGTGCCGGGAACTTTTACATTTTTACAACATTTTTAGTGCCTGCTGAGAGATGGTACTTTCTTGGGGGAAGAAAGTGCCCCAGTTCTGATTGGCTGGGCGAATTGCAAACCACGCTGGGAGTCCCAGCAGCTTCTATTGAAGCCAGTCCCCAACTCCGGGGACTTCCGGCCGGGGACTCCGGGTGGCAGTATACGCCGTGAAGTGGTTTGCGGCCTGCCAGTAAACCCAAAGCAGAAGAAGACGAAGTGACGTCAGCGGCATCATTTGCGTAATCTTCCCTCATGGAACTTATTCCGGTGTGAACGCGATCGGCTCTTAGTTCCATAGGGCAACTAAGTGCTGGGAACTAAGTACGGCAGAGTACTTGGTGTGAACGCGCCTATTGTGTTCTTTTTAACCAAATATCTCTCAGAGGGGCGTAGGGAGGGGCTCCTTATTTTCATCTGAAGTAACAGACAGAGAATCAGCACTTTTGAAACAGGGCTGAAACAGAGGGGATTATGGGATGCTGCAATGATCTGTTTGGTGTTTGGAGCCAAACACTTCAGAGACATGTTTTGTAGATATCTGAGACCTATAATATATTGATTAAAAACAGTATAATAGGGGACCTTTAAGTTATAATTAGTACATTTTGGAAAGCTAAGACAGTGAACATGATGAACATTAGCGTTGTCATTGTGAGTTTGTTTAGCATGCTGACGTTAGCATTTAGCTTAAATCACTGATATATATACATTCAGCCTCACAGAGCTGCAAGTGTGGCCCTCTCCATGTTTGAGATCTATCCAATTGTAAATATGTCTTATAATGTGTCTTTAAAGTAATATATTGACACAAAGATGGCTTTAAACAGAAGGAAATCGCTCACACATACAGAGCATTTTCACACGTAGCCGTACTTACACCCAATGTTGTTTTAGGAACTACATTACCATCTATTATCAGAGTATTAAAATGAGACTTATTGGAATGGCCTTGTTTTGATATAACAAGTAGGAGTTATGTAAACATAGATTATGTATTCATGTTTCCCTTTTCATTCTCCTTGTCATGCGGCTGTTAGATAACACTGTATGTTCTCACGCAGGAGCTGTCTGCTCATCACTTTCAACACAACAGAGAGACACAATCTGCATCGAGGTCTAACTGGAATATTTATTTAGTCTAGAAACTGGAAAGTATCCATAGAAACAAGGCTATGAAAAGCAGCTGCTAGTGAACCAGAAAATGTCCAAACTACAGTAGTTGTTTCCTCTTTAACGACAAAAACACAATAACCCAAGATCCTGAGACACTTCAAACACTCCTTTATTTCTATGACTGGATCTCATGTCTTACATTTATAACGCTGATATATGTGTGTTTTCCCCAGGAGCAGGTCATGCTACTTTCACGGTGAAACTGACATGATGCGAGCGCAGCATGAGACTCTGCCTTTGTTTTGAAGGGGAATTAGGTTCAAGGAAGTATGGTTGAGAAAAACTGCATATTTATTTCTCTCATAACAAATCACAATGTGTTTTGTGTCAATGCTGTTTTCTTTCAAATCAAACTTTATTTATAGCACTTTTCATACACAATACTAGACCCCCTTTCATATGTAACCTGTTACATATTCCTTTGTAATAAATGAAAGCAGTTCAAACTAAGAAGTTAATAAACACAGGCCTGAATAAAACACGAATACAAAAAATGATTGAATAAATAAATAAAATAGCAATAAAATAAAAATAAAAAGCTTATTTTAGTTTTAGTTTATTTTTTTGTAATACATACAATTCTCTTTAGCCATTAGTTTGTGCTGTTAAGAGATATTGAAAATGAAAGGCTTATTTTAATATATTGTGTGGTCCTAGAATCTGATCATTTGTAGATATGAGAACCTGTGTGTTCCCTGCCATCTGTGTGTGTGTGTGTGTGTGTGTGTGTGTGTGTGTGTGTGTGTGGTGTGTGTGTGTGTGTGTGTGTGTGTGTGTGTGTGTGTGTGTGTGTGTGTGTGTGTGTGTCTTCATTACTTTGAGGAGCTTTTCTAGAGAGCTCCAGCTGTGCCTGTGTTCTGGTTCCTGAGATGGGGGGCCAGAGAGCTGCTTCTGAAACCCCCCCCTCTCTCTATACCGAGGCTGAAGGACCAGCCTGAAGAAATATGAGGGGAGGGAGATTTGGGGAGAGGAGGGCAGCACAAGTGTTTGTTTGGAGGGGATAAATAAGAGAGATATGATAGAAATATGGGGAATCAGGACGCTTCAATTGATTTAAAAGATGTACTACAATCACCACTATGCAGTTGTATGTGTCCAACAACTACTCAACGTTTCTCCAAATGGTTATCAATTAATCATTTGTGGGAAATATTTATAAAAATGTCAACTTTTAAGAAATTCAGCGTCGACTTGAGATATCATGTTTACGGGAATGGGATGTTTGTGTGTGGTCACAATGGACTTGGTTATTACAATCCAATCAAAGTTCATCATGGAGTGGACGTTTGAGCCAAATTCGGAAAATGTACTTCAAAGGATATCACATACAGTATATATATGGTGGACATGAGGTGGACATGAGGTCAAAACGATCTTTGACCACCATAATCTAATCAGTTTATCCGGGGGAAAAAGGACGTTAATGCCAAATTTAAAGAAATTTGCCAAATGCGTGCCTGAGATATCGTTGTACCGAGAATGGGATGCATGTGAGGTCACAATTACCTTTCCCAACCAAAATCTAATCAGTTCATCTTTGAATCTAATCGGACTTCTGTGCCAAATTTAAAGAAATTACCTCCAATCATTCCTGAGATATCGCCTTCAAAAGGAAGCTATATCCAATGGATAAAGCAATGAATGCCTTGGGTCATGGTACATAATAAAACACACATGTAGGAACTAGTGATGGGAATTCCGGCTCTTCTTGGTGAGCCGGATCATTTGGCTCGGCTCACCAAGAAGAGCCGGCTCTTTCGGCTCCCAAACGGCTCTTCAGTTTACCACATATTATACCTTTTATAATTCAATCAAATGTAGCCCTGTTTTGACTAATGATTTAAATTATTCAATACATCCTTTGTACTGAAGTATTCAAAAGTAAAAATTACATGTTTAATATCAATTATTTGCTGTGGCCAATTGTTTTCATTGCATTTACAGACCCTTGTATCTCTCTGATACCACCCAATGAATGCACAGACTTGTTTGTAGAACCACGCTACACAAAGCAGATAGCAACACAAAAACTTAAGCATAGACATTTAAAAAAAGGGGCTACTGTATCGACATTTTAAAATTATATTTAAAGAAAGGGCCCTGACAAAACAGCAGGGCTCTATTTCAGTATTAACTATAGAAAAAAAGACAGCAACAGCTGACATCAAATCTTTGCTGAGCCCAAGGATAATCATAAATAAATAACATAGTGAAAATAAATATATTGCAATGCTCAGTACAGCAGCATCCAACCGTCTCTAATCATAAAAAAACATAATAAAAATAAATGTATTGCAATGCTCAAAACAGCAGCATCCAACAGTCTCTAATCCTTGGATATTACATGTCACTGCATGCATGCACGGAGCAGCTGTAGCGCGGAGATCATCATATCATTCTGTCTTGTATTACTTAAAAAAAAAAAAAAAAAAAAAAAAAACGGCTCGTTCGCGGGCGCGAGCCGGCTCCCGTCGTTCACTTAAAAGAGCCGGCTCTTTGAGCCGGCTCGTTCGCGACCGACACATCACTAGTAGGAACCCACAGAGCTAAGATGGCGCCGGTGATGATGGCTGCCGTGTTTTTGGCTGCTCTCCAACTCTGCGTTTGTTTACTTTTCGTTGTGTGCTTTTAACTTTGTCCGCAACATGCGAGCCAACCACACCAACTGTACTATACAGTTACACATTTCATTTGGCAGACACTTTTATCCAAAGCGACTTACAATAAGTGCATTCAACCAGGAGGGTACAGAGTAACAATAAGCATGTAGGTACATTAGTTTGAACTATGCCAAATCATTCGAAGTGCTAGTACATTAGCTTCAACTAAGCCAATCCGTTCTAAGTGCTAATACGTTAGCTTCAACTAAGCCAATCCATTCTACGCGCTAATACGTTAGCTTCAACTAAGCCAATCCGTTCTAAGTGCTAATACGTTAGCTTCAACTAAGCCAATCCGTTCTACGCGCTAATACGTTAGCTTCAACTAAGCCAATCCGTTCTAAGTGCTAATACGTTAGCTTCAACTAAGCCTATCCGTTCTACGCGCTAATACGTTAGCTTCAACTAAGCCAATCCGTTCTAAGTGCTAATACGTTAGCTTCAACTAAGCCAATCCGTTCTACGCGCTAATACGTTAGCTTCAACTAAGCCAATCCGTTCTAAGTGCTAATACGTTAGCTTCAACTAAGCCAATCCGTTCTACGCGCTAATACGTTAGCTTCAACTAAGCCAATCCGTTCGAAGTGCTAATACGTTAGCTTCAACTAAGCCAATCCGTTCTATGCGCTAATACGTTAGCTTCAACTAAGCCAATCTGTTCTAAGTGCTAATACGTTAGCTTCAACTAAGCCAATCCGTTCTAAGTGCTAATACGTTAGCTTCAACTAAGCCAATCCGTTCTACGCGCTAATACGTTAGCTTCAACTAAGCCAATCCGTTCTACGCGCTAATACGTTAGCTTCAACTAAGCCAATCCGTTCTAAGTGCTAATACGTTAGCTTCAACTAAGCCAATCCGTTCTAAGTGCTAATACGTTAGCTTCAACTAAGCCAATCCGTTCTAAGTGCTAGTACATTATTACAATATGTATAGAGATTTCATTGGCTGAGGTGCAGTCGAAAAAGGTGTGTTTTCAGTCTGCGATGGAAGATGTATCACTTTCTGCTGACCGGATACATGTATATAGACTTTTTGCACTACTTTTTATTTTGTATTTTATTATATATGTTGCCTTGTTGGAGGAGCTCAGGTCAGAATCATTTCACTGCCATTTCTACACTGTAGCTTTGTGCATATGACAATAAAACCTTTGAATCTTGAAATTGAATCGTTTTGCAGGAACAACCAGGAGGCAGGAGAGGTCACAGTGTAGCTCCAGCAGGATGCTCCTCAGTAACAGAGAGCTTTAGAGCTGCAGAGGTTTCTGATTGAGTGGAGCTGGCAGGCGGGGGGGCCTCCCTCGGACTGCTGTCAGCTGAGAGCGCGGAGAGGCCCATCACTGACACAACTACCCTGCATAAGTGCCACTTCCCCAGCAGGGGGCGCCTTAGCCTCCTGCCCTGCATCACGCTGAGTGCCCCCCCTGAGGAAAGATTTATATTTTTAAACAACCCCTTCTGCCTCGAGGTGACGGGATAACAACCGCGCCGAGAGTCCACGTAACGAAACATGACCCGCGGGCTTCCGTGCTGCACCGAAGATACTTTAATTAAGAAGAGAGCGCGAGACTCCCCGTCACGTGGCGTTATGCTGAGTGTTTCAAGATCTGATGCACAGGAGCAAGATGTTTTTATTTTGAGTAATACAGCTCATTATACGTTTTCACAGGTTTCAGTGTGCAGCGAGAGCCGACAGGATATTTCAAGCAATAAAAAGCACCGCCGGTAGCAAGAAGAGGTAATGAAGACACTATCACTCTCCTGTGAGGCTGCAAACAAACCTCTCCGCCTGTATCGATTAGCACACGCAATACTGTGCCTTCAGAGTGTCAGTAAAAACAGAGAAAGAATCAAATCTAGCTGCCAAGTCTCATTCCTCTAAACTCTGTTCCTTTAGACCAGAGGACAATCTGACAGCCAGCCTTCAAAAGACAAACCCATAAAGTATTTATGTGTGCGCCTCGGGTCCAGTGAGTTCAGACAGCCACTGAAGAATTCATTAAAGGAGGTGAAAGAATTGTTAAGTGTATCAAATTTAAACCAAGGCCAAACAAGAAAAGGCTCAGACTGAACCACTGACAGAGAGAAAATCAAAACTGTCTTTAGTGATGACACTATAAATACAGAAACAACTTGTTCCCAATGCAAAGAGAACAGTTAGCGATTTCATCAGCCGGGATGTTACTGGGTTGTTGCTCAGAGAAGAAGAGAGGGGGGATTCTCGCTCGTTCTCGAACAGCAGCTCCTGTACGAACATTATCGAGTTAAATGCAGAGGTGGGAAGTAGTGGAGTACTTCGTTACTGTACTACAGTACTGTCCTGTTCTGATATCAGTACTTTACTCCACTACTTATTTTTCGGACGACTTTTTACTTTGACTTCTTACATGTTGAACACAAATACCTGTACTTTCTACTTCTTACATTTCCCAAACAGGCTGGTTACTTTAGTTTGAATGTGTGTTTGGTGGCGTGATCATTATTATTTAGAGTCATTGCGTGCCTATTGATTTGAACACGATCCGTGTATCCATCATTTCCTGGTCTTCTCTAAAGAAGAGGGACCAATGAAAACTTGTTGTCATGTTGCCGTTGTTCAGCATGGAAACATTCATTAGCTAACAATGACATTATTGTTCTATTAATATAAAGGGAGGTCAGGTACTCTTTAAAACAGCTGGGAGTTATGGGTACTTTTTACTTAAGTACATTTCAAAGCCCTCTTTACTTTTACTTGAGTCAAGAAGTTTAGTCAGTACTTCTACTTTTACCAGAGTATTTTTAAACACGAGTACCTGTACTTCTACTTGAGTAAAGGATGTGTGTACTTTGCTATCTCTGGTTAAATGTTTACGAGTCTGTCCTACCTGTTTCCAGGATTCGTCGATGGAGCAGTCCCGGATGGAGGAAGGCTTCGTCTTTACACGAACGGATGTGCGTTCCCACCAGCTCAGAGTTGGTGGCGAGTATTCTGGCGCTCTCCTCGTTCAGGTTCACCCCGGCCATGGAGGCCACGTCGTTGATGTCATCATCGTCCCTGCAACATGGGAAATGGAAGATTAGCAAAACACATACAATTGGAAACTTTAACTAACAATATGATCTGTTCTGTGACAAAAGACGAAGTTTGGTGGCGGCTTGAAGGAGCTTGGGATCATGGGAGTTTTCACCACCATCGCCGTCACTGCAGTCAGTTTTTACCCGATTACTTCATTTAACAGGTTTTTACAGAAAGCCGAGTTATCCAGAGTTGTCTCATCTATCAAACACCAACTAGCCCATTGATAAAACTGGTAAAAACACTGATTAAAGTTTGTTAATTTTAAAGATTATTGTTTCTCCAACGCTGCTTGGTAGAAAATGAACTGTTGGCTGGGAACCGAAGGTCGATTGGAGTTTGCTTAGCTAATTCCTCTGATTACATAGGATCTAGACGTTTAGGAGGATTTTAACGGAAGCAGAGTTATCGGCAGAAGTTAACCTTTTCTATAACTAAAGGACACACTGAGTAAAACCAGTAAAGCTACTAAATAAAGCAGTGTCATGTTTAAAATAAAGGTTTATCTTTTTGTTCAACTGTCGCTAACATTGGCTCAGCTTATCTATCTGACAACTTAAAGGTAGGGTAGGTAAGAATGGAGAAACCAGCTCGAGTGCGCTAGAATTTGAAACTATGCAGCCGAAAAAAATCTGCCCCTTCCTTCAGACTTCCTTACAGAGCCCCTCCTCCAACACACACGAACGCGCACATGACCAATGAGGGCACGAGATAAGTTTGTGCACAGATGGAAGGCTGACAGGCAGGTAGGCCATCCAGTTATTTTAGCCGGGCCGGCTCAGATGATTGGTCGTGCTTTTTACAGTACCACGGCTTCCACAGATGATCTATTTTTATATATTTATTGTCAAAGCATTTAATGTATTCATTGCTATCGGGATGTTAAGAGCATTCCATGGAATATAACAAAAAGTGTTTCTGAAGTGAATTACCTACCCCACCTTTAAGAACAATACATCCTACGACCAAAATCTTTCATCCTGGTAAAGTATATAGTTAAGAACAACTAAGCTGTAAAAAGTATATTGTATAAACATATGTTAAAACTGGAAAAAGTAATTTAATGAAAGCTTCTGGCAGAGAATCACACAATTTAGTGCAAAGGAAACTCCAGCTTACAGCAGAGGAACAAGGTCATTCAGGGTGAACTAAAGTAACTAAAGTAATTGAAGGTCGTACAGGGGGAAAACTAATTTGGGACGCTGTCTTTAGGGATTGTGTCCTACTGGTTGGTGTGTATACAGTTTCCTTTTTGTTATAACAAAATGTAAGGAAAATAAGCAAAAAATCCTAAAGGACAAAGGCACGATTCTGCTCCATCGACATGGACAAATAATTCAGTTTGAGGAAAAGCCCTGTACGCGAACCCTTACTTAATATCAGTCCTAATGTCCCAATATCAAAATGTATTCATGCTTTTATTCATGAATATATCCTGGGATGACAATAAGCATTTGTTTTGTTACAGAGGGCTATGCTTTGGTCATAATGGCACAGAATTCCCATCGCGGGGTCTATTTGTGTCGCTGTGAGCAGGGAGATGAAGAGCGTTCGGACGTTGTTCGGTCGGTAAAGATGCTCCTGAGGATTGGCACGGAGCTGTGATGAATCTGGCAATACACTCATGTCAACAAACTCTATTTGCATACTGCTTTGCTGCACTTTGATTTGTTTTTTTCTCGATGCACAGGTCATTTCTCACGGGCATATTGCTGGCTTCCCACTGTTTACATGTTATTACATATACGCAGAGACACGTTAGAGTGTAAACAAGCAGGATTTGTGTTTGGGTCATTGCGTTGACATTAAATAAGGTCCTCTATGTGGTGGAAATGCCACACTTAATCACCTTCTGGTAAGGAAAGAACAAATAAACAAGCTTAAACCAACATTGTGTTATTTAATAATGAGTTATAGCATTTAACAGATTCAATCTTATTTCCAGCTGGAAGGACAGATAACCAACACCAATGTGTGCTAAATAAATCTGACCCCGTTACACAGGAAAGTAACGACTTTATACAGAGGAGCAGGAAACAAAAGGGACATAAGACAGGTAACATCTGTATGATAATTTGCCTGACAACGGTCCAGTGGCACCCTCCTGTCTGTCGAGTGCAAGAGAACAGAAGGTTGCCGATCTTTTGCATTAAAGGTCCCCTATTATACTGTTTTTCATCAATATATTATAGGTCTCAGATATATATACAAAACATGTCTCTGAAGTGTTTGGCTCCAAACACCAAACAGATCATTGCAGCATCCCATAATCCCCTCTGTTTCAGCCCTGTTTCAAAAGTGCTGATTCTCTGTCTGTTACTTTAGATGAAAATAAGGAGCCCCTCCCCACGCCCCTCTGAGAGATATTTGGTTAAAATGAACACAATACAAACAAACAATAGGGGCTTTCACACCGGAGTATTTTTCCCGTACTTTTCCCAGAAATAGTTCCGATAGTTCCTGGGATGTTGCGTTCACACCAAAAATATCTTTTTTTTCTGGAACCTTTTCACAGAAATTGGAACCTTTTTCTCCCCTTTTCAGTCCCTGCTCTCTAGCAGGGACTGAAAAGGGGAGAGGTTGAAAAGGTTGAAAAGGTTCCAATTTCTGATTGGCTGGGCGAATTGCAAACCACGCCCCGTAAAACTCCGAAAAGTTTTTGTGAAGCCGCAATTTTATTTCCTCGCATTAGCATTATTAGCATTAGCATTAGCCCAGCGCACCAACGGAGAGAGACTAACTTATGGCAACACAAAATAAAAAGTGGGATCGGTGGAGTGATGAGGAGGTGTCGGCGCTTCTGGCGATTTACCCGGGGCTTCGGGTGGCGATTTACTGCCACCCAAAGTCCCGGACTCCGGGGGGCTCCGGGACTCCGGGTGGCAGTATACGCTGTGAAGTTGTTTGCGGCCTGCCAGTAAACCCAAAGCAGAAGAAGAAGAAGTGACGTCAGCGGCTTCATTTGCGTAATCTTCCCTCAGGGAATTTATTCCGGTGTGAACGCGATCTGCTAGATAGTTCCGGGGAAATAAAAGTTCCGGGGACTATTCCTGGGAAAAGTACTTGGTGTGAAAGCGCCTAATGGTGCTCTAGGAGGAGATTCAGGTGATAAGGTGTGGGAGGGGGGGGTTACCTTGGTTGCTGATTGGCTAATGGTTACACAAGCCAAAACATCGTTATGACATCATAAAGTGGCCAAAATCTGATCAGCTCATTTTCAGACAGGTTTTTTTATAAATGGATCAGGACAAAAAGAGAGAGAATCTTTGTTCCTGAAACTTTCAGAATCTCTTTACGCAGAGGGGACACATGTTGATGTAGAAGAGACATGAACAAGTGGATGTTGTATAATAGATTACCGTTAAATAAGGTCCCCTACATCCTTCAAAAGCTGCAACTTTCTCTGTGAGTTGTCACCAGGACTAATTCCCCCTACGATTATTGTACTTGGCATGTAATGACTGTGATTCTGGCCTGAATTATCCGAGCGGTGACGTGTTGTGCTTACAGGACCGGCCTGGAGCGAGCGGCGGATTTACTGAGTGGCTTTGACGGAGGGAACAAAGAAGCGCAGAACACACACAGAGCGAACTCTCGCCGCTCACTGGCTCACCTCCACAGTCATTTGCCTTCATGCCACGGATGTTGGTTGCGACAGAGCTTGTGCGTGTGTTGCTGTGCTTTTGTGTGTTTTCAGCACGGGGCACCAGGGTCTTTCAGGCGCCCTCAGCCAACTCCACCCCACCGAGGCCCTCCTGAACCACGGTGCAGCCACAGAGAGCCGATATGAAACTTGACACCACAGCGGGAGGTTGACAAAGACGATTAGAGCATGTCCCTGAAGCTCACACACCTCTACCTTCCCTCCTCTCCTCCTTTACTCTGGTCTAATTACAGAGAGGATCTACATAACAACACATGCATGGATACATAGGATTATCCCCCATGTTGCACCTCTCTTCCTCACGTCTTCATGGATTACTTTGCTTGTCCTAGGAAGAAACACGCCTGAGGCCATGTTTGCTCAGGTGAAGAAGAAGCGCTGCTACCTTATGGATGTTTGAAGAGAACTGGAAACAGCGTTGGAGACGTTTACTCCTGTGGAAGTTGCTCATTTGCGCTAAAAGCAAAAGTTCAACCCTGTCTCCACATCCATTGAGACCAGAGCAAGCACACTTTTTAAGGGAGGAATTAACTCTGGATTCGGATATCGAGGAATTGTACTACATTTACTTTTTCAAGTAAAGATACGCTGTAGTGTTTCTCTTTCTGTTCCAGCCAGTGATTTCTAGTTCTGCCCATACACTCTACATTGTAATGACATCACATCTTTTTGCATTTCCTGCAAATTGGCTCAGGTTATATACAGTAGGAGCTACAATGTGTGGCGTTACGTTAATATAATAAGCCCTAATGAAATAAAGGGTTTAAGCTAAATGAAGCCATAAAACTAGTCTTCTTTTCCAATGGTGCTTGAATTTAGCATCACTGCCTAAGGCCCCGCTCACACGGGAACGTTTGCGTTTATGCACAGTATGCGTATTCAAAAAAGTCTTCCGTTCACATGCATTCGTTTCATTTAACGTGTCTGTTCAAACGAGGCCGCTGGAAACGCTGTAGTACATATGCCGGGACTGTAAGTGGCGCTGTAACTTCCGCCAAAATACACCAAAAGCAGCGAAGAAGAGCAGCCCAGCAGCCCCGCCGCAATGTTGCCATGGCTACCCTTCTGTTCATGCCCCGCGGTGTATTTAGCAACATGTAGTTCATGTAATTCTCCATGTCCACTTGTTGCTGATGGTTGTGGTAGAGGAGCTGTATATTTTTGCACTAATATCTGTAGCATGGTCAGTAGCAGTAGCACTAGCAGTAGCTACTGACAGGAGGAAGTGTGTGTGGCGATTGCTGGTATTCAGCGGGATATAGTAATTTCCTCAGCATATGGATAAATGCAACGGGGAAGTTAACTGAAAGAAACC